GGCAACAGAAAAGAGTTTTTTTTTAAGGTAATACTCTGAGCTCTGTGAGCGCTCCACTGGAAGCTGTTCTGATGCATGATCGGTAAAGAGGGAGGGGCAAGAACAACATCCAGGGACTTTGTCCGTTCTCAGTCTTGTCTTCTTGTGAATTAGAACGGTGCTTGGGCTGAGGCTAATGGCGTCCTCCATGCCAACATTCCAGCATTATGACAGGAATCTTTCAGAATCTGGCTTGACAGAACATCTGCATTCATGTATACCACATTGCCACGTGTGTATCAGTACAAAGACGACTTTGAGGCTATGCAAGTATTTATAAGCTTCCAAGCTTTCCAGCTAGTTCATGGTGTTCCCATCTACCACTGTGAACTCAAAGAAGTAGGAAAACATTTTGCTCCAGCAACATTAGGCCATTTTGTCATATTATCCTCCCCGTTCAATGTCACAGTAAGGTGAGGAATTGATAGATTGTAAGAAATAAATGAGAATCTTCCAGGTTTAGAGCCATCACCATCCAATTTGAAATAACACTGCCCTTATTCAACCACAAATGAGTCACTGAATTAGCTTGTTGATGGAAGTAAAGTGGAAATGCCTGTGAAACTTGTCTATACCATTAATTAGATTGGATTAATAATTTAAGCCCTTTGGTTGAATAGAACCAACTTTACCCACATCGATGCACAAAGTAAGAAATTAATTAAAATAATAATTTGGATATACAAAATTATTAAAAATGAGATTAATGATATTTTACAAACAAGCAGTTAATATAGACTACATGTAGTTTCACGGGACAGGAGCATATCTAGCAAAAACAGAACCTTAGCATACGAGGAAAAAGATCTCACCAGCTGTACCATAATTCATCAGCCAAAACACTTCTTAAAAAAAACATAAAGGTCAACTTTAGTTAGCTTTAATACTTTCTTCACATTTTCTGCATCCTACTCTGCTTCTACTGAAATACAGATTTTTTGTGTAATATAATTAAGATAAGAGAGACAGTGAAAGTCCCCACCACTTTAGTGCTATTTTAGTATTTGAATTAAGTAATAAATCTTAGTAATTTTCATATTTGATCTCAGAGACCACAAACAGTATTTACAGGATATTAAGATGGGAATACTGTATTTAAGGTAAGCCATTTAATCATTTATTTATCTACATATGTGGGTCATCTGATTGTGGCACATTGGGTGGGTAGATCAATCTTCATCAGCACATTTGATTGACAGGTGGGGGAGATTCATCAGAATGAGGAACTAAGGGGCACAGTGGCAGTGAGATGGTTCTTTATATATATATATATATATATATATATATGTACTGGCGAACTTGGTGAATACGGCTCTAAAGTTATGTGCTTTGAGTGATCAGTATGACTAAAAATGCTATATAAATTCAGTAGATTTACATAATATTCCATCCATCTTCTTCTGCTTATCCATCAGGGTCACGGTGCCTACCTCCAGCAGTCTATGTGTGAAAGGCGGAGTACAACCTGGACAGGTCGCTAGTCAGTCGCAAGGAAACACAGAGACACATAACCATGTACACACATAGATCTACACCTATTTTCATGTTTTTGGACAGGGGAAAACGGAGTACCCAGAGAGAATCCAGGCATGCATAGGGAAAACATTCAGAAACTACATACAGAAAGACCCTTGGCCAGGAATTGAACCCATGAAACTTCTTGCTGCAAGGAGACAGTGCTAAAAAAAAATTTGTCATATTCCTGTGCAATATCCACTTTTCATATTTTGTGTTTTATACGCTGTGCACCATTACGATCTAAATTAATAAAATTAACAGTATATATTTTACAGTATATATTTTCTGTGTCATAAATCTGTTTATTATCAGTTGAAATAAATAAATATTTCAAATATATAAACTTTATCGAGATGCACCTCTTATTTAATAGACAAATGTGATATAAATATGTATAGATAGGGAACCAAAATTAGCTCTTACCCAGGGGCCCATCTCCTTCAATATCCGGCCCTGCACTAAAACTGATACTGTTGAAAGCAGTGGCGGTTCTAGACCAGATGTACCAGGGGGCCAGGAGGGGGCCACTGTGTTTTCATGGGGGCCCAGAAAATCATGAAATAAAAATTAGACCAAGAGATTCAAATATATTAAGATAGCTGCATGAAGTGATTTATTTTTTTTTTATTCAACTAGGTTCAATTAAAATTCTATGTCTTATTAGGTCTGTTTCTATAAAATCTGAATTGGAACTCAAGAAAAACTGAAAAAATTCAGCTGTCTTTAAAATTTATTTTGAAAAAAAAAAAATTAGCAGAAGAAAACTGGGATCCTATCTCAATACCACTGAAGCTATCACCTTATTGTTTTTAAATAATTAGTAAAACAGAATTTGTAAAGAAAAAACACTAAATGGATCAAAAGGATCTATTAGTAACCATGTCTTTTCTTGCGCAAATCATCCTTAGCATTTCTTTGAGTTTTATGTTTTCAGTACATGGGCCATAACCAGAGGCATAGCCAGAATTTTTTTACAAGGGTGGTCAGGCAATAACCAATGTACACTGAGGGGTGGCCGAAAGCGGGTAGGTACCAGAATCTCAGTGTCAATCTACAATGTTCCAACAGGAAAATTAACGAGCAAAACATCCATATTTTCTAAATAAAGACAAACTATACTTTCCTACAGCCTTTTGCTAAGAAATAGACGCATACATTTAAAAATCTGTAATTTTACCTAGATAAAGTTTTATCCACTATACCTAGATAAAAGGTATAGAGGATAAAACTCTCTCAGTTTCGAGCGCTGGGACGTAAATCTTCTCCATTGACATTACTTACCTACTTGTATGAATAAACATTCTGCATAAAATTGATATTTACAAGCACTAACATCTACATAAATTGATTATTTGATAAGTTTTTATAAAAATTGTTATTTATCTAGGATTTCACTGAAGACTCCTAGATGACTTGATTTTCTCTTGAGCCCAAATAATACGAAATCAAAATCTAGTTCTGAAAAGAGCATAAATTCTGTACTTAGTATATTGATGTCTATAATTAACCACAAAAAATTTAAATGTTTTGAATATTCCACTGGAGAGTATCATTGCTACCACCATCTGTATTGGGGGGTGGCCACAGTGGTGGCCAATGATTGGCTAAGGGTCCCTGGCCCCCCTTCTAGCTCTGCCCCTGGCCATAAAAGAGGCCAGGACATGATCTACAGGGGCACTGGCCCCCGTTGGCCCCTTTCTAGAACCGCCCGTGGTTGAAAGCGAACAGCTTTTTTTTTTTTTTTTGCTTAGATCAGCCCAAACTTTGTAAACTCACCTATCAACGCTGATCACACACAGGGTCATGATGGAGGCAGTGCAGCACATTACATCCATGCCGATGAAGATGTTGCAGAACAAGTCCCCGAAGAGCCACTTGCCGCCGGTGAGGTCCGTCACTATGACGAACGGCATCACAACTATGGCCACTGACAGGTCCGCCACCGCAAGGGACACCAGCAGGTAGTTTGAAGGCTGCCTAAGTTTCTTCACCACGCACACCGCAATCACCACCAGCGTGTTTCCCATCACGGTCACCGCCGTGATCATCGCCAGCATGACCCCGATAATGATCTTCTCCGGGCGCCCGAAATCCAGCAGCTGCTCCCCGCATGACTCGTTCCACTTGGCTGTGGGGTTGCTGATGGTGGTGACCGGCACGTTGCTGACCAGAAACAGAGTGCCATTGATAACTTCGGAAATATCCTCTTTCTTGTTAAAAGTGGGCTCAATTCCCGAAGTATTGAACATCATGACAATGATGTTTTCCGGCCAGGGGAGCAAGGGACGCCTCGCCAGCGCGCTCCAATTACGCGCATATTTGGATTTGTGTAACCCTGTCCTGGTCACTGCCGGGCGGTGTTAGGTGGAAACCTTTTCAGCCTCACCTCATCAGAGCTGGAAGTGCTGGTCCGTTCCTTGAACTTCTGTAGCTTTTAGGGACAAGAAGACCAAAAATCGAGGGGAAAAAAAAAAGAAACCCTGAAATAATGGAGATTAACTAAAAAGTAAAAAGAAAAAAATCTCAATCTGCTTGCTTGAGGAAAGTGTTCGGCTTTCCACCACGTCACTTCAGCAAACACGCACAGTGTGGAGAGTTGCGCTGCGCAAACCGCACCTATCCGCGTGACGCATCGGTTAGAGCGCACAGACAGCCTGTCACAGCAGCGCTTCCACTGTGATCCACAGGGCTGGCAGTCTGCACAACAGTGTTTCCTCACTCCTTTCAGCACTACAGGCTCTATCTCTCTATGTCCTTTTAAGGTGATTACAAGAAAGCATGGTTTCTACAAGTGTCACTTATCTGTTTTTGCAGAAATGAAAGATGAATACCGCTGATGTTAAAGAAAATATGACACATTTATTTGTACATTCGTTATATTTAAGGGCATAAAATAAAGTTGACACCTAGACGTTTCTAGTATAGAAATATATTTATATTAATATAATTTTAAATATTAGATTCATTTGCAAAGCCTTTTAAATTCCGATACTAAACTATAGCTCTTTGGACAGCTTTAGGGGCTGTTTACTTTTTAAGGATGTGAAACTCAACTCAACTCTACTTTATTGTCAAATGTGCTACATGGTAAACATACAACACAGATGAAATTGCAGTCCTCTCAACCCCACGGTGCATAATAAAATATAATGAACCATAGCATAAAAAAAAACCCTAAGATATAAAAATAAATATAGGTATCTGCTTGGATAACTAGAACTCTAACAATGAACTAGTTTAAATACTAAAAAAGATTACAAATGTGCAAATGGGAACGGTAAATTTTTACAAATTAACATTACAGTGGTCCTGATGGATGACTAGTGCAAATAGTCAATGTAAACGATGTAACTGTAACATGTACAGCAATTATTATTACTGCACAGTACAGTGGCTATAGTGCAAATAATGCAAATGGTAGCATGAGCTGAGTAGCAGTCATGATGTCTGCAGTGCAAACATTGGTGCAAAACCATGAATTTTGTGTGTCTGCGGCTAAATAAACTCAATAAAAATTGTATTACAAAAATGATCCCAATACTTAGTGTTTTCAACAAAAATAAAATAATAAATTGTACATTTTAAACCTTTATTTAACCAGGAAAAGTCTCTTTGAGGTTTAAAAAAAATTTTTTAGGGGATTCCTGGAGGTTTTTATTGATTTCGTCACATCACCCACTACTAATGCTAAGGCAACATAATTTCCATTATATTTAATCCCAATTTTATTAAACTTTTTAATGGTTTATCCTTTTTATTTTTGAGCCATGAAGGTGAGGACCTGCTGAGCTAGGTGTGTTTGAGCTTAGCACAAACTGTTAAGTAGACATTCATGGTTCCATCTGTTACACCAGGTTTGAAACACCAAAGCAGCCCCAGAATATTACAACCCTACAAACAGCGCAGGGCATAGACCTTTCAAAAGTACATTCTGTCTTATTCAGTCCACAAAATATTCAGCAACATGGAAGGAAGCCCAAACTTTTGGGGGAAAATGTTGGGCTTCCTTCCATGTTGCTGAATCAAAATCAATATGACCTAATGTGAGTGATTCCTGCAATGCAGTGTTGCTTATTTGCTCTTTAAATATTTCTGTTAGGCTGGTCACTCCAGCAAAGCTTTATCTTTATTCCCATCTTCTTTATGGTTAATAGCTATCAATGTGTGTTGGTGCTGTGTTTAAAAGTTTAGGAAATAGATTTGTCACCCTTTCCATATGCATAGATATCAATGACTGTTGGTTTTTATCTTTCTTTTAACCTTATCTTTTATGGGTTTTTTTTAAATCCCTTCGCTTACATGATGTTGTCAGTAGAGATGTTTTACATGATGTTGTTAGTAGAGAGGCACCGATCCAGTTTTTTTCTGATTCTGATCCCATCTGACACCCAGCTGGACTGTGCCCATATCGTCATGATCCTGGGACTGGTGGCTGGCTTGATTGCTCATTCCATTCACCTGTTTAACTCTGAGTGGTTTCTCATTACTGCTTATCTGATCCACCTGTTTCCAGCTCCTATATGCTGCGTGTTTTCCAGCTACCAGTGCCAGATTATTTAAGCTGTTCTGTATGAGTTACTCTAGCGTTCTGAATATTTTTCTGATTTATCTCATTGTGACCTATTTCTGCTCTTTGAATCCCAAGTTTTGCTTTGCCTCTGTCTACTCTGTTAATCTGATCTTTTCTGGAATGATTCCAGGATTTTTCTGGTTTACCAAAACCTGGACTATTCTTCTGACCTCGGCTTGGATTCCCCTTCTGTACCTCATCGACTCTCTGATCTTCTAGTCCGTGAACTTCATTCTTCTACGACTTCGGCTCAGATATTCCCTTCTGGACACTGTTGCTCCCAGGCGTCGGCTGGCATTAGCTCCGCTCATCACTCGGAGCCCAGGGGGCGGTGCCCACCGCAAGCAGAGGTCAAGCTTCCAATCGGTTCCATCTCCTTCTTTTGGGATCAGACTGAACTCTTACCCAGGTCAGTGACTATTGCTCTTAATCTTTATCAGCCCTTCATTCTTAGTGACGGACCTGAGTTTCTGTTTCCTACAGACGACCCGATTTATCCGCTCCAGCTGACGGGCAGCCACACGCTTATGGTTAATAAAGACTTGTTTGAACTCATTCAGGTCTGTTATGAATACTGGTTACTCCAAGGTTTTGAGATTCTGACAGATATATGATACTGTTCTGTGTCAACTGTCAAATGAATGATACATATGTTTAGCCATGTGAGTAAAGGCTTTAGCCTTAACATAAACGTGGTGCTAGTTTAGCAGAAGGTATTTAAAGCTACAGTGTGTAATAATTACAGGGATATACAGTCAGAAATGTAATATATTATACATAACTATGTTATTTTATCATCATCTACGAGCTCAGCCTCTTAACCTTAATATTTGCGTTGCCTTAGAATTCGTTATTTATAATTACATAGGAGCGGGTCTCGCAGCCATGGAGGCAGACATCTTTGCGCTACGGCAGCGCAGAGCCAACAAACTAGTGATTGCGAGATCGCCAAAATGTCACAACGATGTAGAAAGAATAACGGGTATATTTATTATCTTAAGTCTACATGAAATCTATACCCTACACAGACTAATGAAATACTATCTGTAAAATTATCTATGTAAACAAACCTCATCACTTGAGAAGGTAGGTGATGGGGAAGTCGTGGAAGACATTTTGTCCCGTAAAGCTCGCCGTACTGTTGGGTGGGAGAAGAGGTGGGGGGGAGACGTTCATGTTGCTGCGGTCTGCAGTCTGACCGCTAGATGTCGCTTAAAGTTGCACACTGTAGCTTTAATATATTCAATAGCAGAAGAGATTTGAATATATTAAACACTTATAACTGGGGGTTATAATGGGTTATTCAAATCGAGGATGAAACTATTGAACGATTATTAGTTGAATAATTATAACTGTAATTTGCTTACTCACCATGGTTCCTAGTCTTTTACATAAGGTTGGACTCCTGAACAGGCTGTTTAGACTCCTTCACCAATTTAGTCATTTAGACTATGGCTATCAGCAGAGTTATTAATCACCAACCAAAGATATTTATCTCTGGTCATTCAAGTATTCCTGAAAGAAGAGTGATAAACTGTTCACTGTATATAATAAACACAAATGACCACCGATTATTTTTAAAAATGGTACCTTTATTTTAACTAATAAGCCCAAGTAAAATAAGCGCAATGAAATATACAGAAGAGGGGAAAGGGGATTTTAAGAGTCCAGTCGAGAGTCTTTGACTTCAGTTCGAGTTTTGAGGCTTAATTCATTCAAAGTGTCCTTTAAAATAGCAGCAGATAAATCTGAATAACCCTAACACAAAGATATTAAATAGAATCAAAACAGTGAAAAATTAACAATGGCTCAGGAATGCATTAGATGCTGTGACGCTGGAAGGAATGGGTTAGTTCAGCTGGAACAAGATATCTGGTTCCAGGGCAGGCTGCTTGAACAAAAGAGTTGGAGAACGCACAACATGGCTGCTACCAGTGGTAGTAAAAGTACAAATAAACAGAAAAATAGATACTCTAGTAAAATTAAAAGAATCACATTAACATTTGTACTTAATTAAAAGTAACAAAGTACTTGCTTTAAAAAAATACTTAAAGTAAAGAGTACTTTCTGATTAAACTGCATTTTTTCACAATGATTACTATACAGTATGTATATTTACTTTAATACATCAACGTTATTGTCATAAACAATGCTGTGGATAATGCATGTTTGTTTTGACCTTCTGTCAAAGTTCATACTTGGGACTTATAATTTGGGATGATCTGTTTAGTAAAATATTAAGTGCAATAAAGATGACTGATTACACCTTAGAAAGTGTTTAATTCAACAAAACATATGCCATGTTTTATTCAGTCTGAACTTGAGCACATTGTTACAACATCAAAACTAACTTTGACTAACAGGCCCTGATCTTTAACCCTAATTTTTAACTCCAGTTTAATCGTGAAGAGCACAGGGAGGGGAGTGGCAGCCTAGTGGTTGGGCATAGGCCTTGGAATCCTGAGATTGTGAGTTCAAAACCCAAGCCCCACAGACTGCCACTCTGGGTGAGCAAGACCCTTAACCCCTGATTGCTTCCCGGGCACCCCATGATCCCAGCCCACTGATCCCCAAGGGGATGGGTTAACTGCAGAGGTAAATTTCTCCAATGTAAGATGAATAAAATTCTATTTAACAATACTGTAAAGACAGCTTTGTAATTCAAGAGTGTTGAACTTTCAATGTTAACTTGAATGAACTTTCAATGCAACTTTTATATTTGTCTCTCTTTCAACTAGTTCTCTGTATTACAACTAGTGTTGTACCGATACTGATACCAGTATTGGGTAGGGCCCTGAGTACCAACATATAGGGCACCAATACCATTTTGAGAGCCAAAAGTTTATTCAACTATAGTCGCCCATTCCAGGTAGGCAATAAAAAGTCCTGCTGGATTCACTTGGATTCATCATTTTCCTGCTTCACAAGTGTAGGCAGCAGCTTGACAAAGCCATCATGGCAATTATTTTACATCCAAGTAGTATGCAATTCTTTATATATGTACACACACACATCAATTTCAAACAGTTTGTATAGGTAT